GGACCCGCCGGCTGCCTTCTCCCGCCCCCCTCTTGTCCCGCTGTAACAGCGATAAAAACTGTAGGATTTTTATACGGCCTTCACTCCAGGGTTTGAGGTTTAATAAGCTGGTCCGTACGGCAGTGTAATTAGCAATGTTTTGTGTATGCACGCATTTAAAAAAGCCCGACGCTTTTCAACGGGAGGGAGCCCGTGGAAAAATACCCTGATGCTTTATGAACTGAAAAAGCCCTAGGGTTAAGGAGTGCTAGCAACAAACTTATTTCTCTGTGGTACGGTTTACAACTGTTAATGTGCTAAAGCATAATTAAGAGCTGCAGAATAGACAAGCCTTTGGTTGTGGTTGGGCTCGGACCTGTAATGGGAAAGCAGGAGGGAAAGCCTGTGCATGTGCAAAAACTGGGGCCGGGGGGTGGGGGGGAGATCCCTTCCTGCTCGACTGCTCATTCAGCCACACAGCAGCGTTTCAGTGTGACCTGCCTGCCCTTCCAGCTGACAATGTTTCAAATCCTGAAGGACTTTGGAGAGGGGGAGAGAAGAACACACATAGGAGCCATCGGACCTTTTTGGTGGTACTAAGTATGTTTAAGCATTTGCCTACTCTGAACTAAGCAGCTGCGTGAGAACCTGAACTGCCTGTTTATTAAGTAGATATTTAATGTATTGTGTGCATTGTTCCTTAAACTGGGCACGGTTGCAGACTCTGGTAGTATAATCAAACTGAAAATGCTAATTGCAGTTTGCGTAATGAACACCGATTATGACACATCCTAGGACTTGCAAGTACTCTTTCAGAGAGTAAGGCTGAAGTCAATCTAATACTGTGCACCTTGAGGCATGTCTGCTTAAGTAGTACTTACACCTCTAATATCAGTGAAGCAGAGTTGTAAAAGACGCAAACAAACCTCTAAAAATGTGTCTGGCTTAGGCACTGTGATATGCTGCTTTTGTTTTCTTCTACTTTCCCTTCTCCCCTTCCTTGAAGGCTGGATGATGCTATCCTATGTGCTTGTGTTTCCATTTGTGTTGGAAGTGCCTGATCAAAAATCTTCTTGCACCCACAAAAAAGCACACATCTGCCTAGCTGGTGGAGTTAACTCAAATGCTGGATAGTTCTCAAAGAAAAGTGGAAGGGTTTCCTGATGCTGTTCTTTAAAAGGTCTGATTGCAGAAAACAGTCATGTGGAATGCAAAAATTCCTCCAAGCACCAGGAGGGTATACTTGCACAGGATGTAAAGTCTAAGGCTTACTCACCAGGAATAGCTTAGTCTTGCCCAAAGAACTTACATCTAAAACATTGTTTTCTGTCTCTGAGCTACTCGGGGCAGTATTTGATTTTTCTTTGCTGATATCGAGCAAAACTGGCTTGTTACTGCAGACTTGCAGTTTCAATCTCTAATGTGAACAGAAACAAGTTTAAGTTTAAAATTAGCAGCAATGTCTTGAGACAAGAAGATCAAGCAAGGATGTTCTTTCAGTTTCCTTAATCAGCTGTACTTTAATTTGCTGCAGAGAGCTCTTTCTCCCTCATTTGTGTTTCTGCTTGCATTGGCTCAGTCAGTCATCTGGTCAACATTATTTTTGGTTAGACTTTATATTTGTTTGGAACAAATAACCTGCATGGCCATATGTGTGCCAGAAGCAATGTATGGGAAGTAGTAAATGGAATGAGGGTCTGCTGTTCATCTTTGATGTCATCGTCTTGGATCAGTGTAGGTTCTTGGCACTGAACTCTGTGTCTCTCAAGCTTGCAGTTCCTAGAGTCAGTGTCAAAGTACTAAACTGGTGAAAAACATGACTGAAGCTGTCATACACAGTGTAAGTGGATCTGGTCCCTCCTTGTGGTGAAATCATTTCTTTTTCTCTTAAGTATCTGATACAGCAACACAGGAGGTGGCTGGGCACTTGCTACACCTGGGAAAGCTCAGTGAAGATACAGATGTGATCCAGCTAAAGAGTAGGCACAAATCTGGAAAAGCTTACCTGGACATCGCTCCCACACACTATTAATTGAAGTGTCTACAGTGTGTTGGCTGTGAACAGCTTCCATGGAGTTGTTTCTCCCAGACACGGTCACTTCCTCAATGATATGACAGGTTGTTATGAGAGTCACTGCAGTGGCTCCATTCTCTGCAGGAATTTATCAGGGCGTAAGCAGTCTTAGTGACAGGCTAAACTTGCCTGAGTTGTCTTGCTGTTAGTGCTTTTGAAATAACACTTTGCAAAAGAAGTTTTGTGGTGGTAGTTTGTTTTTTTTTTAAAGTACAACCAAACTGTGTGCATTACTGGAAGGCCTTTATTACATGCTTCAGTTTGGACTTAATCCTAAATTGCTGTTAAAAGTAGATATTTAATCTGTTTCTTTTCTGTTTCTAGCCAAGGTACGAGCATCTGTCTAGAATGTCCAGGCATGCACAACAGCTTAGAGACCATGATATAAATCCATGTGTAGCGGTAAGATGATCAAATTGGGATTTCTGTCTGTATGTTTCAATGTTAAATAGTGCAATTTCTAGAGGATTTTTTTTATGGATAGCAGTCTTGCATTGGCGTTTTGTATAAAGTTTCTTAAAGAGTCTGAAGATGGGAAAAGCAGAAAATCATCTGTTACAGTAGGTGTGAAATAATAACCAGTAGTTCTGCATAAATAGGAGTAATACAACTGATAGCAATCTCTTCAATTTTCTGTCCTTTAAACCAGAGCCTGAAATCCTGGTTAGACAAGCTCGGTTGATTTTGAAGTCTCTTGTGGGTTATACCAAGCATCTTTGTAAACAACTATTCTGTGGACTCTATCCTTACTATTTGAAGAGTGTTAATGTCTGTTATCTCTAAATGAAGTCATTGCTTGGAATTACTGATTATCCTTCATGATGGATGTTCCTCTGCTCTCTTTGATAGTATTCTTTCATCTGAGAAGCTGCCTCCTATCTTCATAGATATTCTGGGACTTGTTAGGATTTTTAGACACTGAGTACAGTAACTTCCCTCTGCTCTGAAGTATATTTTCCCTGTGTTAAAGGAAACAGATGCCTCTAGAAAATGTATGGATGACAACAACTATAAAAAGGATATGTGTACTGCTTATTTCTTGAAGTACAAAAGCTGCAGAAAATTCTGGGTAAGTGCCATAGATTTTTTTTCTAAATATTTCTCCATGCTTTGCTTTAAGTACATTACTTCTGACACACTGCTTTCTGAACTCTTCAGACTTAGCTAGTGCTGACTGCCACTGTTTTTGTGGTGACTTACAGGCCTAGGTAGTCTCGGTATGTGTTGTTGGAAGACACATGTCAAAGTACTTCACTTGGTTCTCCTAAGTTTACCATCCTAGACTGTGAGTGTTCTCACAATACCTGATATGTTTCCTTCTGAATTAGTCAGATATTTACTAGAAATAAGTTCTGGTTTAAATGGATATAATGAAAAACTTCTGAGGTAAGGTAAGTTCATCAGTTTTTCCATTGGTTTGGGTCATGTTTACTTTAACCTAAGGTAAAGTTTAGGAAGAATTCATTCTTATTTTGTGGTGTCCTTATTGCCTTCTCTCTTGCAGTAGAGAAGTATCATAAGGAACTATGTGCAGTTAAACTAGTCTCTACTATTTTCTTTCCTTCCGCCATAGTAGTAAAGAGTCTTTTAGCTTAGCCTTTAAATAACTGTGCAAACTACCAAAAAACCTATTTGTAGACAATTGCACATTGGTCATACATAGTGTAATGGGAATACTGTAATTTCAGTTTCTTTTGAAGCAGCAAGGTAAGCTATCAGATATCTTCAATGAAATACTAGTACATTTAGTTATCAGCTGATAAGATGAGAATCTGGCTCTTGCTATATAAAGAGTACTTCTGTTAAAGAATCTTACTCATTTGGAGCTCAGAGGCACAGACTTCTGAGAAATCTGTGTTCTCATGGTCACTTTCTTGTATTTTCAGCATGATGTTATGATGCAAAGGAGAAGAAACGGTGTGAAACCAGAGATGCCCTCAGCAGAAGAGAGAGAGAAAATATTGGAATCAACGGGGAAGCCCTACTGACTAGAAACTTGCATTGATTGACTGTTTTTACTGTACCTATGAAGACTTGCAGCAGCAAGTTGCTCTTTTATGAACTGGACTTTATAGTTGCCATATCTTGGATTAAAATAAGCTCTTAAATTTTGAAATGTGTGAGCTTTCTAGGATAGAACGTCTTGATTTTATTCATATTCCCTTTCATGGAAACATGGCCTCTCACTGGAAGACATGGGTATCAACACAGCTTATGTCTAGGCACTCTGGAAGTAGAAACTAACTTGCTGTGAAATGCTAAATATAAAATTAATGGGACTCGCAGAAAGTACATTTGAACAGAGGGGGCTGGTGAGTGTTGCAGTGTAGTTGTAAGGATGGAGCATGTTGAGAGACTGGTATGTGCAACATGTTTCTTGTATCCAGCTATTCTGCCATAGGTAGTAGTAACTGTGGATTTATCATGGGTGATCCCGTCACTGTTTTCACATGAGTTGTATTCTGTGTCCCTGGTTTAAATAAGACTGTGAACTAAAATCCCAAATCCAACAAGCTTGTCATGAGGTCTGCCACCGCACTCATCAGCGACAGCAGAAGCTTCCTATAAATCACATCCGTGAGCTTTGCTTGTTACAAGGTTAGAGAGGTTGATGAAGATAGAACTGAACTCCTCAGGTCTGAACTGAAGAGTGCCTTCTGTGGATAGTAAATAGATACTTTGCTGGCAGGGGGGCTTGTAGACATGTAAACATATACTCTGAGTGACATGGCAGGTTTAACTATAGTACATTTATCTAAGACTCTCTGGACAGCTGAAGCCCTGGGTTTGGAAATGCTTACTCATACAAGACTACAAAGCTCAGTTTGAACAGGTACTCTGATCTTAAGTAAGATTAATTCCTTAACTCAACAACTGGTAAGCGTAAAGGGCTTGCTGTCTGGTGGAAACACTGTTTTCTTACCTTCAGTACTTTCAGGTGTCCTGGCTTAAAAGCTTGCACCCTGTGGCAAAACAGAAAAACCACTGTCATGAGCTCAAGTTCCATGTGAAATCCTTTAGGACTTACTGTGATCAAGTTGGCAGAACTCTGGCTGACCTCATGGAGGATGGTGTAAAAGTGTTGTCTCTCTATTTAGACTGTTTTGGAAAGACTTCATGGCTTCCTGCTTCTCCTTCTGCCTGGCTTGTCTTGTTTCTTTCCACTGGAGGCCAATTTCTTTGCCTAGTGGGATTTTTACGCTGTTTCTACCTTTCCCTTGTTATTTGACCTGACTGGTCAAATAATGGCGATCTACTTCTCTTTCTCTCTGTTCTGCTTCTACATCTAAATTTTGGAATGGATTGATCATACCCTTTCTGTGGCTGGAATGAGTGTGTAACTCTATGCCTTTTGAATACACAGGTCCCTGAGCATAGCTGTGCAGCCTCCAAGCCATGTCACAAGTTTTCTAGTCAGTTTCTGTAAAGGGAAGCAGACTTCCTTCAATCAAGATCATCAGATTCTTTATTTTAAATTACTTTCTCTGCACTTAAAAATCAAACTTTGACTTTTTTTGTGAAACGGAGAAGAAACTTACGGATTCAAAGGCTCTTTCTTGCCTGCCACCTTCTTCCCATGCCCTCCTACCTACCAGTCTTTCCTTTTTTCCTTTTTTTTTTTTTTTTTTTCTCCCATTTGGCACAAATCCTTCTTACAGATTTGAGCATTTTGGCCTGTTCTCATTCCAACTTTATTTTTTTTTCCTGGTAACTTTGTTCTGTTTCTGATCTAATGAAGTCCTACAATGACTTCCTAATACAGCTCCTCCTGAAGGTCTTGTGTTCTCTGCTCTCCCTGTCTTAGTGGGAGGAGAACTTGCTTTCATTTGCCGAACTTGGCTGTAATACTTCCTCATTGGCCTTGCCTCTGTGTGGTCATCTTGTTCATCTGCAGTTTTGGGGGAGCCAAATGTCCCCTTTTCCTTAGGACTATGCCTCTCTGGACTCTGCTGGTTTTGCTGCCTCACTTATCTACAGGCACCTTCTCTCCCACTTGGCACAAGTTTGTTGTTTGGCACCTCTGCTGTATCTTCGGGCATGTTCTTTGCCTCTGGTTTTGGCTACAATTCTAGTGCTTGCTGTTTTCCTCTTGCTGTGCTCATACGTTCTGGGCTTATGTTAAAATCTACTGTATCTTTTAGTTCTATGCTAGAAAAACATCTCCTCTGGAGGTGTTTATGCTGATTCTTCCTTGCGTAAGCTCAAGTTCCTTGAAGTCATGTCATTTACCCTATGTTTTCCTTGCAAGTTTTCTTTGTGTGTAGAAATGCCCTTTTTCCTTGGCTAATTGTTGTGTTTACAATTTTTTCCTGCCAATGTTTATTTGGAAAGCTTCCACTGGTTTTGTTTTCTTTTAATGGATGGATGATTGACTTTAGACTTTAATAGATACCCTGTACTGCTTTGCAGAGTGTTTGTACAGCACTAGTACAGGACTTCAGAAAGTCAGAAAAGGAGATGCATTCCCCGTTTTCAGGTAGCAAACAATGCAAGAATGTGGGATCACAGGATGGGCAAAGGCACATGTAATGCAAGAACAGTATTCTAATATTAGATTTCCAATCACCCGTGGACACACATAGTAAGCTCCCTGCGGGCGTGACAAAATTGACTTTAGTGAAGAAGTGAGGGCAATTTAAGCAGTGACCCCGTAATTCAGGTAACCGGTCATCTTTTGTAGGGAATGCCGTTTATTCCTTTATTTCCATTTCATGTGCCTTATAGCTACTGTTAAAGAACACAACTTTATGAAAAATCATGGAAAGCAAGAAGTTTTCTTTCTCATGTCATAATGCTTCTCTAGTAATCCATTAGTTAAGCCTGAGTTTTCATCATTTTCCCCCTCACTGGAGGTTGCTGTTCTTGCTTTTGCTACTGAAGCTCAAGAGTGGTGAGTTACGATAGCCAAAACATAGGCCCTTATGTATGAAATGGCGGAGTTTTTTCCACTAATTTTTGTAGTGTGATTAACTGTCTTTGGTTATGTGCCAAAGATAATGGTCTTTTCCTCATTCCCAAGAGCTTATATTCTACACTTCACTGGCAGGCTACAGCTTACCCCAGTGTTCCAGTCTTACTGGGCAGGAATAAACTGGGCTGAGTTCTTAGTTTTGTTTAAGCACGCTTTTCTGTACTAACCCAGAAAACATAACACAATGGACCAATATAATTAATTCAGAACCAGGGTAAAGAGCTGTGGGTTTGGTTTTGTTTAGTAAGTGTAATTCTTCATTTTGCTTCTGGTACAAGGACCAAATCTGGATAGTGGCATTAATGTTTCGTTATTTTTTTGACAGCTGGATGGTGCTGTTGTACAACAGACTGTATGAAAACAGACTCACTCCACCCACTGCTGGCTCTTTCGAGCTTTTTATAGCCTCCTCCCACAGAGGTAGCAGAATTCTTGCAGGAGAAAGCGAAGATTGGTGCTGTCTCTACAGTGTACACAGAAGAGGAGGACAAGAGTCTAAATCACTGCTGGAAAATTGGAGGCTTCTGAGCAGCCCAAGAAGCTTCAGAATATGGTCCTCAAGAATGTGTGTTACTGTGGTTTGATCACAGCTGAGCACTGAGCAGCAGCTACAGGTGCTCTGCCAGGCCCAGGTGAAGGTCCAGGCTCCCATCTGGACATTCTACCGTCTTGCCTCTCCCATCACCCTACAGTGCAAGGGCTTTGTTTGACTCTGGCAATTTTCTGCTGCCACGACGGGGACGAGTCTGTGCTCTTGAAGGTGTTAGGAAGCCATCTAGCTCTAGAATCCTGAAACTTCTTTGGGTTTAATAGCTGAAGCTTTGGAATACAGGGAGTTGCATGTGCTGCAGCTCAGTCCTTTTTGTGGTCTTCTCCTAATAAAACTTACGCATTTGCGTGACCAAAGGCACGTGTATAGGGGAGGTTTACCTAAAACTTCTGCAGAAGAGGGAGGATGAATTCAGACTATACAATGTTATTTGGCTCTAGTGCTTTTGGAGGTAGCCCTTAATTCCTGTCTAAAGTATCTGCATCTTTTAAAGTCAGTCTTCCAAAATAGCTATGAAGAAAGTAATCATGTGAAAAAGGTTGGAAAAAATAGCATGCTACTGCAGGCCTTTATTCTTTTGCAAGAATGTGAGGCAACCGGAGGAAATAGTTCTGTAAGTGTTAAAGTAGTAAAAATTAAAACAAGCATGCTACTTCAGGATTTTTAATTTTTGTTTCAGCCTATTTAATAGAAAAAAATGTGAGGGAAGGATTGCGTTTGTACTGACTAAATGCATTGAAGTAATTGAAGTAAAGCCTTAATATGTTTTTTTATATATATGATATCAAGTATGTAGTAACTAAGACTCATTGGATTTTGAGTAAGTAATTCCTCTCCATCTTCTAGGTTTCTATGTTGATGCCTCCTATCTCAAAATCCCTTTCTGAGGATTTTCAGTTTTAAGGCCTTCAGATGTAACGATCCTCAGATCACACATGCTTGCTGCCCTTTGACACCTGAGCTGCTAACTGAGTGCAGCTAACTTGAAACCTCTTTGCAACTTGCCTGTCTCTCCCAAAAGTATCCCTTTCAATAAGCTCAACCTCTTGTCTACCTCGCACTAATACTATATTCTGCCCTGTGGACACCATTTTCCTATTACATTTTTTTTTCATTTTTCCTTGGGTACAACACCGTTTAATCTCTTGATTTCTGTATTACCTTCTTGCTGTTGTCAATTATGCTGCTTCCCTCCCCTGTCTTGTAACTTTGTGATTGTCATCTGTGCCTGAGGTTCAAAGTTCATCTTGGAGGTTTCATTGTACAGCTTCATCCTCCCTAGTTGCCTTTTGCCTAGTCATCTCTTTCACAAGCTGATTTCCATTAGCTTTGGCTGGAATATCTTCCCTGCTCGTGTATGCATTATACAACTGATTTGATTTTTTTTTTTTTCCCCTAAGTGTCTGGTTTTTACAATGCTATCTTCCCCTTCAACCCAAAAATGCCCTTCTGTAGCTAGTTCCCTGGGATTAGAAAAACAAACAGGCTACTCTAGCAGCAACCTCTAAGACTGCATGTGTATCTATGTGAAATGCTAATTAGGTAGCTAGTGAAAGCATGAAAGCATCTCCCTTATGTGTTTAAAAGTTCTGGTAGCCCTTTCTCAAAAAAAGCTTTCCAGTCTCGCTTGTGTGGTGGTGCATCATGTTGAATTCAGGCTGTTGGCTCCTTGAACAGCAACCTGCCATTTTGCATTGGTCTGCAGAATGCTGTACACAGCTGTGGCACTGGAGAAACAGTAGAAATAATTCCGAGGTTGGTTAGGCTGAGAGCTGCGACGGATTTGCACGTTTTTCCGATACTGAAGGAACGTGGCAGATGGCCTAATTATTATGAGTAGTTCCTTCCCTAGAAAATATCTTCTGAGGAGGGACATGAGGGCTGTTTAACATGAAATGCTTTCTCCCGATGCTGTCTGCAGGAGTAACTCCCTAATTGACTATATAATATCTAAAAAAAAATGAGGAAAAGTTGGGTGACATGGTTCTTCCATCAACAGGACAGAGATTTCTTTTGGTGATGGTGTTTTAAAGCTAATAAAGTTCACTTTCAATGAAGCTAGGCATACATCTATTCTAAGAACATTCTTTTTAAATTAATTTTGAGAATTGTTTTCTATATCTAGGCTTTTTCTCCTTTTGCTAAGTAAATTGTGGTATTTGTGTTAACTTCTAGGTCCTTTATATCCCAAAGCATGATTTATATTCACATCCTCCCCATTGCAGGGGCTGTGGGGGGTTTTTTTGCAACATTCGATTTGAGCAGATTGTCTGGAGCCCCAACCCTAGTCTAGTTAAACCTGTCTGGAGCTATTCCACAACCTGCTGTTGTTGTTTGGTTTGGTGTGGTGGTTTGTTTGTTTTGTTTTTAAAATCAAACATTCATTGTTGGTGAATTGGGTTTTGCATTGCATTGCACCGTTCTTCCAATTGTTACTTGCTTTTAAAAGTCCCACTACCCTTGGGCTACCTCTGTACCTATTTTACTCGATAAACAGCTATGGGCTGCAAACACTTCCTGACATTTTAAGTGATTTTGGCAGAACACAGACTTGAAACAAATGAAAATTGCTCAATCCCTGCTATTTTCTTTAACATTGTTTTCATTTTCAAACAGTTTCAAAAACATCTTGCAGCCTCTTTCTGTTTCATATTTCTCCTGGGTCACATCAGCAGATACAAGCTATAGCCACCTTCTGAAGCTGCTATGTAACAAATGTTTTCTGTTAATGCCAAACTCTTATTTCACCTGGAAAATGTTTTTACCCTTTTATGGTAAACATTACCACAAATACTGCCTCCTGTTTTAGCTTCTCTGTACTACATATCTCATTCTCTTCTAGCAAAGAGGTGGTCTTGTATCTAACATCCTCCATGGAACAGAATGCATCTGTGACTACCTGTTCTTTCCGTTTATCTCTCACTGCTCAGTATTTTAAACTTGCACCTCCCCCAACATACTCTATTTTTTTTTTTCCTTAAAAGTTTTTAAATTCAGCCTTTGCTTTTGGAAATGTGCTGTTAAAATTCCTGTACTTCAGCACCTTAACTGTGCCATGTTTATGTTTTGTTTTGTTTTTTTAACACTTCATGTGACAGTTTCCTGGCACAAAACCTGTCCTTTGTGCCAGGGAATATCAGTGTTGTCCATTGCCCTGTAAAATAAGAATAATCACCTGAGGTCATTGCAAAACACCATTTCATGTGTGTTGTGGATCAGTAGGTTTAAAATAGAAACTAACAAATCAAGAAAACAATATTTTTAAAAAGCAACCTGCTTTTTAAATTTACTGTTACTGAAAGGGATGAAAAGAAAAGATTTTTGTAACTGCTTTTCAGTAAAAGCAGTTGAATATGTTAAAAATAGCTGCAAACTATACCGGTTGGGAACTGTATGGGTCAGGGGTCAGATTTTTGTTGTATGTGCATACCACAAAATCAAATTAGTGTCTGTCAAAAATCGGTGTTCTCTGTGTAGATAATGCTGTGCTGTGTTATATCAATAGGTTAAAAACTGCACTTCTACTTCTGAGTGGTTCCGAAACGGAAAACAATTGTAAGATGATGTATAATGACAAACAGGAAAGGTCATGCTTAAGGTAGAAAAGAGGTAATTGCTGGATATGCTAAAAGCAATTCACAGCTGTAAGATAAAGAGTAAAAGTAGAAATAGGGGGCATCAACTCAGGTTTGTAAACACTCATAAGCCTGTGAAGAATCTAAACATTTTTCATTTATAACATTGCAATTATTTTGTCAAAAAAAGATTTTGCAATGTTTTCACAGAAATAGCCTGTTGGTGATAATATTTTTACTGTGCCACATGTGAATCTCAGGGGTTTTTTGCCTTGAAGTATGGGCCCCTGAGC